AGTCCTTAGGGTAACCCTGAACATTCTGGAGTCAGGGATACAGAGGATCTGAGGCAGACTGATCTCCCTCATAATCTGCAACTATCTTTTTTGACTGGAATATAGCAGGCCTCCGAAGTGGTTGGAACTGAAGCACAGCTCCTCCTGGCACCTCGACTGCCAGTGCTGGGCTAGATGTTCAAAGGCAGAGTCCCTTCCACTCAACATGCCATTGATGCTACTTGGAGTAATAAGTTGGTCGCACTGATCACACAACAAGCTCAAACAGGAAATCCCAGTCACCCAGGAATCTTGGAAGTGATCATGGACTGCCCAGAAGGCAGAAATTTTGCGACAGCACCAGAGGAGGAGGTGACGTGCTGAAGAGGTCCTGTTGTACAATAAACTGCCAGAAAATGAGAAGCAATACGCCCTGTTCACTGATGGGTCCTGCTGCATTGCAGGGAAACATCGGCGGTGGAAAGTGTTGGACTGTGTGGAGTCCCACACGACAAGGTGCAGAGGCTGCTGAAGGCCAAGGTGAATCCAGCCAGTTTGCAGAGGTAAAGGCCATCCAGCTGGCCTTGGACATTGCTGAACGAGAGAAATGGCCAGTGCTTTACCTCTGCACTGACTCGTGGATGGTGGCAAATGCACTGTGGGGGTGGCTACAGCAATGGAAACAGAGCAACTGGCAGCACAGAGGCAAACCCATCTGGGATGCCCCATTATGGCAAGACATTGCTTCCCGTCTAGACAACCTGGTCAAAGTGTGTCACACAGATGCCCACGTATGCAAATGCTGAGCCACTGAATAACAGAGGTACAAGCAGATTGATCCACCTGCTGCTAAGATTGCAGTGGCTCAGGTAGATCTGGATTGGCAACATAAAGGTGAGCTGTTTATGGCTCGGTGGGCCCATGACACCTCAGGCCACCAGGGGAGAAATGCAACACATTGCAGTTGTTACGATTCTTCATCATTTCTTTATTACAGAGCCACCGGTTTTCCAGTGATGAGGTGGGCTCCTGGATCATGACACCACAGTCTGGCTTTTCTCACTTGCCTTTTACACTTCAAATGGATCTTCAGCATCTGAGTGTAACAGGCTAAAAATTACTGTTCTCTAGTCTCAACAGCTGTGTCTTCTCAGTCTTTACTTCCCTGGCTTTAGCAAAACAGCCCAGAAACACTGATCTGTGAAGATTATGAGAATTTGTAACAGCAGAGTGCATAGTGGTTAACAGTAGAGTGACAGAAGTGAAAAGATAACAAAGGCTGTTTACTATGAAAATAAAGTATTCTGCACTAATTCTTATGGCTATACTCCTAGCTATCAGATTCATGTAATATATAGCCTTTTATTTAGGTAAGCCAGCAATAAAATAATGTGATTTATTTTCCTTTTCTACTTTATGTTCCTGGTCATCTCAGTGGAGGACATTCTGCTGAATAAGTATGTCTAAAAATCAGACCATACAACTGTAAAAACAACACCATAACCAGAGGCACCTTAAGTAAAGAAGAAGTCAGGATCTCGGGGAAACCGGCCCAGCCTTAGCAACTGAATAAATCATCACATTTAGAAAGCAACAAAAAAAGGCTGAGGAAAAATGATTGCTATAAATATAACTGCCACCAAAATCACTGGAGTTGAATTTATTTACTTCGGGGCTCAAAGGCAAAATCTGTTTTACAGCAGACAGATTTTTGCTCTGACACAGTGGTCACAACAGTCTGAAACTGCAAGCACACGCTGCTGTATATGAGTGTATGTGTGTGTTAGTTTTTACCTTTGCTACAAAATATTCTAACCATCATACAACTCACCACCATGCTCTGCCTCTACCCACAAGGAAATCAGCCTTCTAATGAGAAGTGACATTAGGGACGTTCATGCGTGACTGAGCACACAGTAATGCCTCTCTAGCAGTATCACTTAAACTGGTTCAACTATTCTTGTGTGCTCAAAAGAGCATACAGTATTAAAATTAGTGACCTCACTAGCAGAAGAGAATTTAAATACAAGGGTAAATTCAGTTTAAATGGATCCATTTTTGAAATTCCTTTCTGTTGTAAATTGTGAAATGGTCACATTTTCCCCTCAAATTATGATCTGTATGTATTTAAATTAGTGAATACAGTTCTTAAATGGTTCTTAAGGTATTAGCAAGGAATGAGTGTTATCACCCTGTTCAGTGCATCATGAGAGTAAGTAAAGTAAGACTGTGCAAAACAATTTTACACTACATGACAGAAAATCATTAGTATGTGAAGGAAGAGTGAAGTATCTACTGCACACTTCGGTGTACATCTATCCTGTACAACTACCTCTGCGGAGAAAGCATGTGTAAATTGGTGGAACGAGGAATTCTTTTGTTCCATCACCTGATCTAGCTTTAACATGCCATCACACACCTTCACTGTCTCATCTTTCCAAGCATATGTGGGAATAAAAAAAAAAAAAAAAAAGACCTCTCTTACTAACAAAAGATCTCTCTCATCATGCTGTGTCTACCTTACTTATGCACTGCAAGCTCTTTGGTGCAGGTTACGTCAGCCGACACATTTTGCACAAGGTTATATACTTAACATTACTGATGTAACTGATCTAGAGCTGGCCAGAGCTGCACGAAGGTGCAGTTAGCTATAGTGTTCTCTACAACAGACAGCCACGGCTTTCTCCTTCAACAACTCTCTTCAGCTAAGTCCTATGTTACTGGGCAAAGACAGGACTTGGAATTTGATTCTCTTTAGGTAGCTTTTCTTGTTTTATTTGATCAGCTGCACTATTTCTTTGTGCGCTCTGCATAAGCCCAAATGTAATACTTCACACAGGGGAAGAAAAGTTAAAAAATAGCAGATGGTAAAAATATCTGGACAGCTAGCATTAACCCTCAAATGTTTTTACCACATTAATAGCCTGACAGACATGAAACTGATCATGTAACCAGTAAAGAAAGAGAGATGAACTCTACAACTGACATGTAGAACATTACCTTGTCCAGTGTATTCAAAAGAGTCTGCCTCATCAGGAGTGTCAAGGTCATCTACATTGATGTCAATTTCATCTGGTGTATCCAAATTATCATCAGAAAGTATAGATCCTTCACTCTGGTCCAAAGAGAGATTGATATTTGGAGCAGTGAGCTTTATCCTTCTTGGATGGGAACCGTTAAGATCAAGAGAATTGGGAGGTTCTGGGAAAAAAAAAACCACAACAAAAAAACAACCCCATCAATTTTACATCTCCTCTTCATACAATTCATGTCCCAGATACTCAAGAATCACCTTCAAACACACTGGGACAGGTCAATTTTAGTAACACCACAACATTTAAGACCAGCCAACATAAAATACAAATACCAACATTAATGTTTAAAAAATAAAACAAGCATCTACAGGAATGGCAGATGTAGCTGGGAGCTCTTAAATTATGCAAAATCCAGATTCTTTTTTTTTTTTTTCCAATCATCAGATGAAAAAAATCAAACCTTGGACATGCTCTAACCCACAATGTTTAAGAACTTAGAGAGCAATGTACAAATAATATGTCCTGAGCCAGGACACTGCCGAATCCAGGAGAAATTCGTATGAGTCAAAACGCCCTGTAAATATTTTTCTTTGGCACTTGCTGCCATTTAAATGGTGCCGATTTGCAAGTAGCTATGTCGTTACTTTGAACTACAGATTATCTTAGTCAATACAGTAACAGAAATAAAAATACCTCTGAATCTCTTTATCGGTCTTAAATAAAAGTGGTCTTCAACAAGACAAAAGCTAGGTATGGCTTTGCCCCTTGCCACTGCATTGCATGGCACATTTCAAGCTGTTCTGATTGATGCATTCTCATGCTCACTTAGACAGTACTCATATATAAGATAAATAATAGATTCTACTTAAACTTCACAAGGACTAAACGTGTGACGACAACAACGTACAAGAGAATGTAAGATTATTATTCCACAAGTGAAGAAGAAAATTGACTAAATAAAGCAAACTTAACACTGCACTGATTTTTTACCAGCACAGAAACATCCTTCTCACTGCATAATTAAATGTCAAGGGAATAAGATATAATTAAGAAGTGAGTAAGAGCTTCTCTCACCGGGTCTCATCTCTGTAGCACTGGGGCTTAATACACCCTCAGCAAAGGGGATGTCCATTCCTACATCCTCTTGTGCCAACCTGAGAGGTAAAATACAAAGCAAAGTCTTAAAAGAGAGATGCACAGACTGACTTTGCTATTAATACAGCTCACGTGATCTCATACGGTACCAAAATTTTCCTCAACATAGCCAGTTCTGAAGTCTGATCGCAAATTGATGTGAGGAATGAACACAGCTGTTATAAACCTTCAGTGCACTTCTTACCCGATTCATGCACGTCTGAAGAGCCTTTGGAGACTACCGGTCACACATAGCCACTTTCACTTGGATCAAGTCATAGTACTGAATAACAACAAGCTGCCAAATGGCAGTGTTTCTAATTTCATACAAATGAAGTTGGTCTTTTATCATCATGCAAATCAGACACATCATTGAAGGGAACTTCAGCTACTCTTTGCAAACTGCACACCACAGTTAAGCATTCCATAACAGTCTTTTCATTGCTGTTTATACAGTTACTGTAGAGCAAAAACGAGATCATGAGAGGGTTTTCTTCATTCTTTTGCTATCATTTGTACTTTAGAGCAATTCTGACCCAAATCCATCATTTTGTAGTACTGAAAACAGTTGATGTCCTGCATTGAAAGGGTACAGGAAGCACAAAAGCAAGAACTAAAACTGTATTACAGATTTTCAAATACTGAAATGTTGGAAAAAAACCTTAGCTAGACTGCCTTTTTAGGAAGACACTAAGAAATTACATTTAACATACATACATAAGACAAAAAACATTAGGTGGTGAAAATAATAACAAAGGTGCTTGAATGTTTAAAGCAAATTGACTTGAGCTGTTTTCATGTCCACTTTCCATTCAAGTATTTTATGAAATGCTTTCTAGGAGGATGGTTCAACTGTAGACAGGAAACAAAAAATTTTACCTTTTCAGGACACTCTTGACAGCTTCCAAACTATCTGCGCTAAAACTGTATGACATAAAAAAAGCTTCATTTATTTTATCAGAGTCATTATAGCATTTTTTCCTGTAATCCTGTTCCAAACTATTTAATTTTTTTCTCCCTCCTACAAAAGCTGAAGTTTTTACAGTTTTTACATTTTGATTCACAGAGCCGTGATGAGAGAAAAGGAGGTAGTCTTCCCTAACACAGCAGTAGCTAGCTCTGTTCTGAAGGATTCAGCCGAAAGCGTGTGAATAGGCTTGGCTTGTTGCTCCTGCAGTTTCTTCCTACCCTCACTTTCCTCATGAGGACCACCCTCATTATTTTACCAGGTGGAGACAAGATTCTTCTGGCCATCACAGTAGGAGCACAGTTTCTGTGATTTCTTGTTGAATTCATATCAATTATATACAAATGTGTGCATGTACACCCCACCTGCAAGTGAGCCAAAGGCTTCACTGTGCTTAAAGTTGTGAAACCCTGTTAAACCCCTTTACCTGAAGCCCCATACCATCAAATTCCCAATGCAGACAGGCAAACTAGTGTTTTTCACCATGAGGCCATAGAGAAAACAGACAATACAGAGCTAGGGTAAAACATGTTTGTGCTGCTGAATTCATGCCCAGGCCCTGTCTCTGAATAAAAACAGACACACATTAAATCTTGCTAATTTTACTAGATTTATGCCCACATACCATAGAGTACATCTTTCACAAATGCAAAGATTAACTGCTTAATGATTTCTACAAAACACGCCAATTTTGGAGTATGTTTAATCACTGACAAATAAGGCTTGAAATATTCTCTTTGGATACACAATAGATGAGTAAAGAAATTTGATCGAAGTATCCTGCTCATAATAAAATGAATGGCACAAATTGTCTGTAATGTGCCAGTTCCTTTTTCCCTTCTCTGTAGCATCATTTGTGTTCAGAGGCTGTACAGAAAACTGACACACAAAATATCACACAATTTATTTAGAAAATGTAAATAAGGTATTACAGTATTTGGCTTTTTTTGGTGTCTGTTCCATTCATACTAAAACATCTGTAATGAAGGCTAATTTATTCATCTGAACTTAGCATCTAACGAAGCTCTGTCAGTAACAGCTGGATAAGGTGAGAAACCATAGTGGGGGAAATAGCGTGGGGAGAGGATGAATGCTTCTAATCCATTTTAAATTCAGATCAAGATTTTATTTGGAGCTTTATTAACCTTTCCAAATATGAAACTACAAAAAGTTCTTGGATTAAAGCAGCTCGGGACTACTCAGATGATGATTTATTGGTGCTCAAGGGTGTAAGTTTGGCTGAACAGAACAGGGTTTTGATACTAATATATAAACCATCCATTTATAAAACCTCTTACAGCCTTATGACACCAAATGACAGTTCCTTACTGAACAAGCTTCATAAATCACTGCAGGAAACTATTTGAAAGGAAATGCTCTTTTCTCAACTTGTGAAGAGTAAGCTAGGGGAGGACAGTGAACTTTGAGGCTTTCTACATTAGAGACAGTATTCTCTGCAGTAAACCCGTAAATGTTCAAGCAGAATGAAGATCATCATCTCTGTACAAGAGCATGACTGAGTTTTGTACACTCTAACCCTACAGAAACAGTGACATTTATCATCTGTATAAAAGCAATTTCCCCCAATTCAGAATTTTGAGAGCCGCCTTAAATTTTTGCAGTGCCTGGGACCGAACTGTTCTAAGTCACGACATTTCTGGGATTGCCTCAAGAGTGCTTTTCTCCCTGCGGCATCTTTAGGTGTATCCAGCTCTTGGAGCTGGTACTGTTGCTTTCGCTAGAATCCCTTACACTTTCCTAACATCAATTTCAAATGTTTTTCTGCTTTGAGTGGGACCACTACAGCCACGTTAAACCAGATTTTTGTATTACAGTTGTGTTTACAAGAATGGTACGTTTCTGGGGGACTGAAAGATAAACGTGCTTCATATCCTTTTGTTTGAATTTCTACTGAAATACAGCTGCTGCTATAGGCAATAAATATATTCAACCCTTTGCTTAGGGATTACAAGTGAACAGCATCAGAATTTGTCTGAGAATCTCTAACTTTATTTTGATGGCACAGTGGTTTTAATGTCGATAATCCATACAGTTCATACTGGGATATTTGATTGGGGAAGCAGGAGTCTGCAGTCTTGAAAGATCTGGGACAAAGCAGGCAGTTAAAAATCAGTTCAAGCCCAGTTACCTAAAGCATTGCTGACACAAAATTTTCCATTATATTTTCAATCACACAGAATGTACCACCTTTCAGAAGTTTCTCAGCTGAGATTAGATTTCCTTTTTTTTTTTTTTAAATTTGTGCCAGGTTTTCATTTACTGTCAAATAATGAGTCAGACTTTTCAGAGAAGACAGTCTGACTCTCAAGTTAGTCCTATTTTTCCAGATCCCTTGTGCTTTACCCAGACAGATTAAAGATTCCTTGCCAGACATACATATCTATGTTCAGAGCAAGTTAATTTTTTTTTTTTAAAAGTAGTTAACATTTGTTCAGTTATATGTTAATAGGCAATACAGGCATCTTTCAAATCTGGTGAGTTTAAAGAGCCAGGCACAGAGCATGGCTTCTGTGACACAGTACCTGAACATATGGCTCCAGACTCCCCATCAGTGTGAGAATGAGCAAGATACAAAGTTTGTTTTGTATAGACAGAGCTCCCCATTTTCTGATGGATTTTAAGAGCGTGCTGTGCTGAGCAGCTCGACACCTTGCCCAGTAATTTCTGGCTGTGCGCAAATTCTCAACGTATCTCAGCAAGAACCCTAGTAATGGAAAATGGACTCCAGAAACTTTAATTAAGCAACTACCTCCTCTTCCTTTCCCACAGCCTACTTCACATACTTCCCAAATTGTGACTTACAAAACTCCTTGCCTTCCATACAGGTGCAACTGATGCCATGGAAGATGTGGCCAAAAATATTAGAAAACTTTTTTTTGTGCTTCCAGTGAATGCTCCCTGTTGAAGAAGTAAATTAATTTGCTTTAGAAAGCTTCATTATAATCAGGTATTATTTACTGGATAGAGAAAATAAAGGATCTTTCACTCCGAACAGAGGTCAAAGTCAAGTAAGCTTTTTGAGTCATAAATGACTTCTTTTATGTGGTACACAGACCAGTTATTAAAGGATCAGCTGCACTGGGAATCAAGTTACTGCATATTTGCTTTGATAATTCAGGTCTACATACTTGTTCAGAAGCAGCTAACACCCCCTCACCCCATCTGTCAAAGGTGGATCAGAGACAGATACCAAATTCTTACGGAAGAAGGAGAGAAAGGCTGGAGGCTGAAATCCTTTCCTTTGGTTCAGACATTCTTACAGCTCAGTAAACCAATAATCTTTAAATAATTCTTAGTGCTCTCTCAAATCAGTATTTCTCAGAATAAAAGTTATCTTTCCTGACTTTTCCAGGTACAGCAGCATTCTCATATTTTGGAAAGAGCAGCTCTGAATATGCACAGCGGTATGTCATAACCCCTTTGGGCTGTGCTTCCTCATCCTTGTGTCACATGCGAAATATCACCGGTTTCCCAAGCGGCTCTGCAGCTATCACATATAAAGAAATTAATTTATGTAGTCTAAAGCAAATAACCTGTCCAATGGGTTGCTCTGAATGAACACCTACAATCTGCAAAGGAGAGCCACATTAATACACGGTGACTATCTCCTGTCTAAAGTGAATACACCCTCTACAACCCACAACTTGCTCACCAGCCGGACTTCAAACTTTTGCACTGGTGAGTAAAAAAGCTTGGAAAATGTATACAGTTTAATCTGAGGTAGAGCCCAGAACTGCCGAACACTTTTCCTAGATAAGTAAATCATGTGTCTTCTATGCTGTTCTCCCTATACACAGAAATACTTTTATATTTAAAATTTCACATAAGTTAAAGGTTTCTATAAAGTTTCAAAGCATGACTAGTAAGAAAAATGACATGGATGAAATCACCTCAGCCTGTATTAATACATGCTTTTTTTGGAAACGTCATGGGAGGAGAGGAGATGTAGTACAATGAAAAGGGTATTCAGAGACTTGACATCTGGCTTTTTCATAGTCTCAAATGCCACACATTACACATGTATGCCCTAGT